ATCAGAAAGCCCAGGAGAGGATTTTTAAAATTATCCTTCCCAGGTTTTGCCACAGCCTGTGGCTATTTTGTGATATGCTTGTGGTCTTACATTGTTTTGCAATATTGCAATATTATCTCAGGATGTTTTCCCTGCACCTCATATGCCATTTCTGATCTATTTCTACCAACCACGATTCTACAACTGTTGTTGCCCAGTTTTGGCTTTCCTTTAAGACCAGGTGTTGAATTTCTTTCAGCGGAAGAGTCACATTCAGTTGCAAAAGAGCTCTAGCAGTCTGTATTTTGGGGTAGGAGGAGCCAAAAGCAAAGGGGCGGAGCCAAAACACAAGGTAATACAATGCAAAGCTCTTTGTGACCTAACTGAAGCCTCGGGGGATGCTTTCAACTTTTGCAGGAGGAAAAACATCACAAACACTGGGAGACAATGATTGGGGGTTGGAGGAAGACAGTGGGCCCCATGGAATGGCAAGCTTGTATAATGGTTAGAGTACCTGCTTTTTTTAACTTACTTTTTCTTGTGGGCAGCTGAGATTGCTATGAAAGGGTTCCTGATGGTGCTGAAAACTATGGATTCAAAGGAACGCTGGGGCTCAGACCCCCACTCCTGGCTCTTTCTCAGGATTTTGGGCCCGTTATCGCATTTTGCCATGCCTTCCTTGACAGCCATTTTGTGGTGGGACTCAGGACCATTTCTCAAATGGCCAAATGTATGAACAGCCTAATTAAGAATGCCTGGCCCTGTTTTTTTTATTATTTTTTTTTGCTGGAGTCCTTCCTAGAATTGGTACTTTCGGTTCCTTGGAAAGACAGGTGCTCATTCCCCATCCCCGTGTTCCTTTTAAATGTCTGAGCCAAACTCATAAAGATAATTTGTACTGCCGAAATAATGCATAGTGCCACTTTGGCAGTCCCATCTGCTCTGAAGACTGAAAAGATTAGACGCTTTAACAACCCTTATGCATTAGTCATTTGCTCCACATTTAAAGAATGAAGACAGTGACGAGGCAAAACCTGGCCGCGGGATGGTGGCCATAAGCTCCGTGAGGGCTTTTTGTTCAGTCCCAAGGATTACAACTGCCATCATCCAGGCTAAGCAACATGTGGGATGCCTCCAACTGTGTGGCCGGGAATCGTGGAGCGGAGCTAGTTTGGGTCTCCAACACTGGAGGAAAATATTGCTCTCTGCCTATTTTTTCCACCCCTGCTCATAACTGGCATCTTAGCTGTACAGGCTGGCATCTTAGCCCAGCTGAACTTTTAAAAGCCCTGAACTTTTAGTCTGTCCTTGCAGCTGGGCCACTTAACCACCTGCCTCGATTTTGCCCACCTGGCTTTCCCCAGATGGCTACGCCCCAGTTCCATATCCCCCTTCTCAGAAACCTTTGACCGAGGCTTTTTCATGGGTGTCCTGCCTCACCTCCTTCGAAAAGGTTTTTCCAAATCTCTCCTCAGGTTTCGTGCTTCGTCTCCTGTATGCTGGCATTTGGAAGCATTTTATCTCACCCGCCTTTGCCTGTCCCATCCTGCCACTACAATGCATCCTCCTGAGAGCTTTCCAAAAATGCAAGTTGGCCACTGGGTTGAAAGGGATTAGACAGCACCCGTACCTTGTAGGGATGGCGCTCCTACCAATCGGTTGCATCCGATGTGGAAAGAGCCCTCCTACCAAAGCCAGCTGTTCCCAGGTTCTTGAGAAACTGCCGCCAGGCCTGAAGTCCTGCATTACAGGTCCTGGCCAACTGTACACCTTGAGTAACAGAAGCTGAACTGTGGCCATCCATTTATTACCTGAGCTGGTGCAATTGCACTATTCCACGCCAGGACGAAGTCAGAGTTTGCAGACTGCTGACTCACCGGAGCAACAATGCTCGGCCTCGGCCAGCTTCCCCGGGAAAAAGCCGCACAGCACTCGGCAGAGCTGAGGTCCAGGCCGATGGAGAGGACTACATTACACCTGTTATCCTGACCCTCGGGGACGTTTAGACCCCAAGCAAAGAATGGGGCTTAAAAGTCCCTCCTTTATAGCAAGGCGAAGGACTGAGTGGGACACAAACCAAGTCTCTTTTGCCATTAAGCAGCCATGCATAAGACATTTAGGCTCCTTTGGATCCATTCGTGAGACCCCTGCCAAAAATGCAGGGCCTCTGTCTGCTGGCGCCTACAGACAGACAGAGGGAAGAGGCCTGATCATACTGGTGCAATCCTGCTCCAAGGTCATTTAGCTCCCAGATCTCCATTTGCTATGATACCCCAAATTTTGCAGTGTCAGGTGATTTCCAAAGCCACTGTGGTCATGTTTCTGTAAAAGGAAGTGCCCACGAGTAAATGAAAGCTGTGCTGACCAGCCCGAAGGCACACTCGCTTACATGTTTGGCCAGAAAAATGGCTGCTGCTCCCAGCATGCATCAGTCACGGGAGCTGCAGGCCATTTTCTGGCCAAATAATCACAGGATTGCAAGCTTAGTCCTACATACTGCTTCCATTTGGCCAATCAGCCACCTGGTGGGAAACTCAAAACTGGACACAGACTCCAGTGCTCAGCTATGAGTTGTGTGAAAACACTTCTTCCTCGTGGAAAAAGCTCTAACCTGCCTCCATTCAGCTTCTTGGAAAGGTCCCACTGGATACCAGCATTGTGAGAAAGGAAAGGGCACCACTCCCCGTTCCCCCCCCCCCCCACAAACATAGACAACAACATCCTGGCTGCTTTTAAGTGAGTATCTACATTCTGTCCAAAGCAAGTCCCACCTGTGGAATTTGGCCTGGCAGAGGATCCTTGACAGAGGATCCCACCCAGGTTTTCAATGACAGCCATTACACCTCCTGGGAAGAACTGACTGTGCACATCTGGGGCATATCCCATGTACACCTCTGCTCCAGGTGACGGGAAAACGTTGCAGGTTCAGACGTGTTCTCAAGCACCTCAGCAGCTCCCTGGACCCCTTTCATAGCCCAGACATTTAAATGCACTGATGGTTTCCACAGTAACACACTCCATGTGAGGTCATACACAAGCTCAACTCCCAATCCCTGATTCACACATGAACTTTTTGTAGGGAGCAGTCTACAGATTTAGCAGGTGGAGGCTGCAGAGCGACACCTTAAATAAGAACGCTCCTCAGTGCAGTTACAAACATGCATCCGATGGCAATTGCCCAAATACTGCCACAACCCAGATTAGCCAACTCAAAAACAGTCAGGTTCAGGGTGGCCAGGTGTCCTACTTTCCAGAAGTCACTCCTCTACTGGAATGATCTCAGTCCAAGTCCGATGCAACACACCCTAAACAAGAAGGTGGGGGGGAGAGGAGAGGACAGGCCCTGAAGTTGCCCATTCAGGAGTAGCACCTGGCCAGCAGTTTGAGCAGGGCTCCGCCTTCCCCTTAAAGCGAGATTGCTGCACTTCTATTTATTGTAATTAGCATCAAATTAAATTTCTATGACTTCCCTTAGCCATAAAAGGTTCTCAATGTAAACACACTCGTCTCTCTGACTTCGCATCCGTGCAAACAGGGGCAAACGTTACGCAAACGCCCGCACCCTCTTTTTGAATGATACGAAACGGCGGGGTTCGGCCGCGCCTGGGGGGGGGGGGGGGCACACAGGTTTCCCCGAGGCGGCCTCGGGCGCGGAACGTGCGCCGCGCGCGGAGCGGGCCCCGCACCGGCCGGCCGGGCTCGCGCGGAGAGGGGCGCCCCGGCCAAGCCCCCGCGGCCCGAGAGGCGGAGTTGGCGAGCGGCTTCCCGGCGTGCAGCGCCAGCCGGCGCCGCTAGAGGGGACGGAGGAGGAGGAGGAGGCCGGCCGCGCAGCGAGCTCCGGAGCCAAACAACAAAACACGCCATCGCGGCGGGGCCACGCCCAGCCAGCACCTGTCGCGCCGCGCAACGCCACGCCGCCCCGAGCGCGCCGGGAGCGCGGCAAGCCTCCTCCGCCCAGGACGCGGCTGCTCCCGCGGCTCCACCCGGTCGCCAGCTCCGACGCCGGGGTCGCGTCAGCGCGCGACGGGCTGCTCCCCCTGCTCGCCCGGGGCAGCGACACTTCCTTAGTCCGGCTTCCCGGGAAAGCCCCGTGGACGCTTTTCTTTTCCGGCTAGAAGTCGGAGCAGCAGCCCATGTTTCGCTTTTGTTTACGTGCACACACCTGCCCTGCCCTGCCCTGCCCAGTCCTCCGTCCGAATTAGCGCCTCTGGGAACGGGGGCAGGAATCCGGCGGCTAAACCCACGTTTAACCCGGATTCGCGTTCAGACTCCTGGTTAGCAAAGCCGAGATTGGCAAGCCGGCCAGAAATGGGTCGCGTACAACAGCCTTCGAGTCCCTCGCCTTCCCTCTTAAGGAACCCCCAACCGAAACTGGAGCTACCACCGGAGAGATCGCGCCGCTCCGTTTAGGGTGCGATCCTAGAGACGCAAAGCCGCCAACGCCACGCCATCTCTAGGGAAAGGAGGCACCCTCTGCGCTTGGCACCTTCCGTCTCTCCCCGCGCCCCGTCCCAGGCCTCCCCCGAAGCCGCATCTATGCACGGCCAAATCGGCGGGGTCGTCCCTGCGCGGTCTGCGCAGACCTCCATGCTTGGCAACGGGGCGGGGGGCTATTCCAGCGGCACGCCAACCAAGCGGGCTCCGTGTTTGGGGAGCCGGCTAACGGCGGGAAGGAAAAGGCACCCGCCGAGGCGCATCGCTCCTCGGGCTTTTGTGTCCGCGAGAGCCACCCAGCAGCCCCCCTCAGCCCCCCCGCGCCTCTCCCTGGTCAATCATTTATCACACTAGGTAACCTTCAACTAAGGACAAGCCGCGGGAAGAGGAGGGAGGGCGCGCATGGCGGGCGCGGGTCGGTGCATCCGTCGGGACTTGGCAGTGACCACACGCACACAATCGCTCCGGACTGCCCGCCCGCCCACCGTTCGGCCCAGCTCGCTCGGCTCGGCTCGGCTTGGCTTGGCGGGAGGGGGGTGTCTCCGCTCCGAGGAGAACCCGGAGGAAAACCGCCGCCTCGGACTTACGTATCGCCTCAACTTCTTCTCCGGCGGCGATTTCCGCAGCCAGCCCGAGCAGACCACTTCCCCGCCGCTCATCCTGCCGGGGCGAGGCGGCGACGCCGGCCCGCCGGCCCAGGGCGTCGTCGGCGTCCCGGATCGATGCCTTCCCCCCGTCGGGACCGGAGCAGCATCCGATCACGGCGAGGGCTGCCGCGCCCGGCTCTGCCGGTCGGTGCAAGGAAGGGGCAGGTCGCGGCCGCTGTCCGGGCTCACCACGGGCATTCAGCGGCGAGCGGCAGCGCCTCTCCGGCGCTTGCGCCCCCTCCGAGCCATCCGTGCCCGCGGGCGGCGGCGGCTGCCGCCTCCATCCACCGACCGACCACACTGGGGGTTCTGTCTGGCCACACAACCGCCTCGCTGTTGGCTTCCTGCGCTTCCTTGGGATAAATGCACTCCACCCCCGGAGGAGGGAGCGAGCTCTCGGCGAGCCAGGCGAGCCAAGCGCGCTCTCTCGCTCTTTCTTTTCTTTCCCCTACACACGCACTTTGCAGCCTCTTCAGCTGGTCCGGATGGAAGCAGGAAACCCTCTTCTTTTAAATGGACCCCCCTCCCCGCAAAGAGTGCACGCACACCACGCCTCCCTTGCGGATTTGCAAAGTGCAAACACCCCGTTGCGTTGCTTGGCAAGACTGCTTGGGAACTTTTGCTGCTGCTGCTGCTGCTAATTGTTATGGAATTGTTATACTTGGGTTGTGGAATAACAATTAGAATATTCGAATTCTAATTAGAATATTACGATAAAATGTGAACCCCCAGGAGTGCGGTAACTGTTTTAAAGGGCAGGGGCTGATCATTTGACCTTCCATAACCATGTGCCCCAGCAGGGTGTTCTCTTCTTCCCCAAGAGCAGGTTTTTCCTAAAGGTAATAAATATGGCAGTTGCCCATTTAAGACCAACCACAATCCTTGCAGCGAGATGGCTCAGTATTTTTGCTGAGGAAATCCATTCACACGCACCCCACCCCTCCACGTAATGTGAAAATTCAGTTAAGCTCAGGGGGAACAAGGAATCCGGAGGGGGGGGGCATCCGTGCAAATAAAAAAAGTGCAAACCTGATGCCACTACCCCAGGCAATGATACCAGCAGCAGCCTCCCGAAGAAAAGTGGGATATAAATATAAATAACAGGCAATCAGACTGAAGTACCAAGAGCCAGGGCGAAGGGAGGGGGTCTGTGCATTGGGAATGCAAGTGTTAAGAAACACGAACCTGGCCTTCCTGCAGACAGCCAGCAAGATAGCTTACATGGACATTTCCTGCCCCTGGCTGTACCAAATAAAATCATTGTGCAAAACACAAAGCCATGGCGGAGTTCAAACACAGCACTGGAAATCCTAAGACCCAGAAAAGCTGCTATTAAAATAACTTCGCCAAAGCTGCAGTGCTTGTTTGGGGGGGCGGGGGGCTTATCAGGTGTACAGTGCTTCTGGATTAGGAGGCCTGCTTTTATGCATGTTTAAGTTCTGCAGAGTCCAAGGGATTTTCTTCCATCCCAAGTAAGCATAGAGGGGCTACAGGTTACATGAGGTTCTTGAGCAGGGTCCGGCTGGTGTATGCCCTGCATGGTCAGCTGCTGCATAAGGGAATAGAACCCTGCGCGTTTCTTTCAGGCATTGCAAGTGTCTGGTTCACCTGAGTTTGCCTGTTTGTTGATGGGAAAGGCAAGGGCTGACCTGCAGGTGTGAATGGCCCAACGGGAAACCCCACACACTTTTATCATTGGAAATTCAAAGGTTTTTTAACACAGTCTGTCTCACCGGATCTGCCCAATGAGGGGAGAAAGGCAAGTACTAGCAGAGGCCCTTTATCCGTTGGGCCATCCTTACCTGTACAGGTGGGAAAGGGATGGGGGACTGCCATTCATGAGTGGTTTATTGAACTGAGCGGAGGTTTTTAATTTGTATAATTTGTTTTTTTTTTTTTTTGGTATCATGTTTGTTTATTTATGTAAGCCGTCCAGAGGCGTTAAGCGATGGGACGGCATACAAAAAACTCTAAATAAATATAAATAAATAAATTATCTGGGGGCTAACCCTCACCCTGCATCAGTTCATTGTACTAAACATCAATCCTAGGAACATACAAATAGACAAAAGCAGTCAGAGTGTTTCCAACAGAAATAATCCGACAAGATGTGTTTTGCCTGGGTCTTCTGGAAAAAGGCTGGTATTTTGTCCTGGACAGGCAGGGCCTTCATTCACAGGGTCGCCATGAATCAGAGACGACTTGACGGCACATCACAACAAACAAAGAACAGCAGTGTCTGAACATCGGAAGGACCCCCGTCCAGCATTTGGTTTCCCCCTTGGCCAACCAGGTGCCCTAACAGAAAATCCATTCGCATGTTCACTAGCAAGAGACGTTCAGCAAGCGACGCATTGCTTGTGAGCCTGAGGATGGGTAGATGGGAATTCCAGCCAGCCGTGTGCATGGAGCTGTGCAATAATAATCCCAACAATACAATTTAATAGGTGGTCCTTTGGTATGAACACCCTAATGGGCCCATGGGCATTATCGGACAATGCTCTGACTAGGGACCAGGCAATCTGAAGGCCCATTCTTCTGTACAAACTCACCAAGCATTTAAAGTCCTGATCGTGGCAAGTCCCTCTCTCAGTCTCATTGTCACTGGAGATCGCTCCTTTTTCCCTTTCAAAGAACACAAGGCAGCTTCTGCAATTCTCCTCCTCTCAATCTTATTCCCACAACAACAACCCTGTGAGGTAGGCTGGGCTGAGAGTTCCAAAGGCACCCGGTTGACTCCATGGCTGAGCAGGGACTAGAACCCAAGTCTCCTGAGTGCCAGACCTGTGCTCTTAACCATTATACTACACTGCCTCTCTATTTGGTGGCCACTCCTAGGCTCCAGTTCAAGGAAACGAGCACATAGGTTTCCTCTCTGTTGTCCTCCTGCAGGACAAGAAAGTTGCTTTTTATTTGGACAGGACTTTGGGATTTAAGCTGTTCAGATAGTTCTAACCTGTTGGGTGTTGTCACTTTTTATTGATGTGCTTTAATTCTATTTTTAATCTGTTCCTATATCTTCATTCTCTTTACAGTTTTATTGGAACTAAACTGTTCTCTGCCATTTTCTGAATTTTAATAAGGAAGGAAGGAAAAATGCAGAAAATACAGCACACTGGTCGATAGAGTTTACTGGCAGCAATCTTCATGGTTTAAACCATTTTCACAAAAAAAGCCAGTTATCAAAGTGTTTGCACAGGAAGCTCTGGTCTTACATTCCTAACAATTTCCAAGAAATCAAGTCCTAACAATTCTGCGTGGTGAACCCAGCACCATCCTGGTGCCCCACAGCTGAGCTGAATTATAGCTCTGATCTTTGTTTGGTGTAGACCTGTACCATGAAAAAAGAACGTACAAAAGCAAGGCTGCAGCTGAATATTAAGCATCATGACTACAGAAGAATTGCAGAACTGTGAAGGTGCCGAAATTGTGAAAGATGTAGCGCACCTTGGCACAGCCAAGGCAGAATGTAGCTAAAAGGCGACCGATTGCTGTAAACCACCCAGACAGCTTCAGCTATGGGACGGTAGAGAAATGAAATAAATAAAGAACAGATTCAGTGAAGGCTGAGACTTGGAAGGGCAGCAATGAAGCAACTAGAAAAGGTCTCCCAGTGTAAGGATGTTTCACTGGAGACCAAGGCCAAGATCATCCACGTTGCTGTATTTTCAGTCTCCATGTGTGGGTGTGGAAGCTGGATGGTGAAAGCTGATGGAAGAAAATGGCCGTGTTGGGAACACTGTGCTGGAGGAGAGCTTTGTGAATACCCTGGAGCAACAAAAACACAAGCCAGTGGGTCTCAGATCAAATCAAGCCAAAGCTCTCCCTGGATACAAATAGGATGAATCTGCGGTGGTCATGCTTTGGGCAAATCAGGAGAAGACAAGACTCCCTGGAGAAGACAGTCCTGCCAGGGAAGGTCACAGACAGAAGAAGAGGAAGACCAAAGATCAGATGGATCAACTCCACCAAGGAAGTTACAAGAGCAGAAGTTTAAATGCAAAGTAAAAAATAGAGGGGGGGGGGGTGAGAGAGGTAGATTTTTGATATCCAGAGGTCCAGGATCTCTTTTAGCCAGAGTTAAATTCTTTCTTGGAGAAGCATGTGAAGCCACGTTTAGTGGTGAATGGGACCAGAGGCCAAAGTGGTGGAGCTGAAAACGCAACCCTCTTTAGCTTAAAAGCTCTTTCTTAGACTCAGAGAAACATTTTCATGGGTAAGGACTACACAAGTTGGAGAAAACACCGAACCCTCAGAGGGTGAAGTGGGGGCTTGGAGGAAGGGTGGGAGAGAAGTGCATGAAGGTGGCGCACGGAAGGTCGTCGCTCAGTGCTGGAACAAGTGGCTGCCCACAAACAAGGGTGTTGGGTTCAACTGCTGTCATTTCCCCTTCAAGAGGACCAGGCAGCAAAGCATGGTGGGAAATACCTCCTGCTGGAGGCCCCACTGAGCTGGGATTAGTGGGCAAAGGGTCTGATCTTGAGTAAAGCTGCTTCCTATGAAACCATGTCAAAAGAACCCAGTTCTGTCTCCTAAATAAGCTGCATGAATGAGATTACGGAGATTGCACCCCCATAACCCTTCCTGTCCACATCTTAGTGCTAGTGACAGCAGTGGGGGTCAGCACCTGCCCCGCAAAGTTACAGCTATGGAGCACGGTGCCCATAAGCTCCCAAATACCTACCTAACGTTTCCCATTTTTAAAAAATAACACACGGTCTTGGGCATATTGTTGTGAGCCAGGGCGTGAATGTGTGCACTGGGGGTCCAGGGTGGCTTGCGGGAGAGGGAATACGTTGCCTAACAGAGAGGGGAGAGAAAAAGGGTTCGACTTTTGTGAAATAGGTTTCTGTTGGTGGAGAAAACCGTGAGTTTGACGGCGGTTAATGCACTAGGGCTCAGACCGGCTCTGTCAAGCTACCCAGTTTTTTGGGCAACTCATCCGTTGTGATTAGTCACATCTCCCCACATCATGGAGCACATCTGCACCAAAAAGCTGCTCACCCCCGTCCGAGACCAAAGTATCTTGCTGTTGTCACCAAAGATGAATCGGTTTCCTCAACGCTTCTTTTCTCGGAAACAGCACCTTCTGTTGATTATTTTGGAATGGGCCACGGTGGATCGCTAAGACACGATCAACCACACCTGTAGCATTCCTACCCGATTACACAGTCTTCGCAGCAGATGATCAGGCAAAATTCTTGTGTGCTTGCATGCTATCGGGGCAGGGTGTGCCTTAAGCGTGACGGCAGAGTTCTCCAATACTCAGAAACTCCATGGCGGTTTGCATCCTTCCAGGCTGGCTGAAGCACCAAGGGGGACCAGCAAAGCTGCTTTTCAAAGAGGCGAAAAGTGCATGGGCCCATTTTGAAAAAATAAGGTGTTGCACCACCTATTGGAGCCAGTCTGGCACTGCACAAGCAACTTTTGGGCGAACATGGGAGAGGTTCTGCCACTTAAACGAGTGCTGGGGACCAGGACGAGCGAGTTGCGCGGTGGTTCAGCAGGAGAAGGGAGCAGCTACAGTTTGTGGTATTGGGTGTGGAGCTCAGCTTCAGGAGTGAGCGTGCATGCTTGTCTCCCTTCTGCATTGAAAAACTGAAAAAAATCTTTCACACACATTGAAAAATGTGTGAGTTATGATGAAACCTCGAGAATTATCACAAAGGTTTGCAAAGCAAGAACGGACTATCTTTTTCCCCATCAAGGCCTGCATTCCCCAGAGGGAAATGGGTAAACCTTCAGGAGCCACAAGCTTCTTTCTTCTTCCATTTCTGTTTTTAAGATAATTAAAATGAATACATCACAACCTAACACTGTTTCTCACACTTAACAGAGTGGGGTGGTGGATATCTTAAATCTCTCTGGCATGTACCTGAACCTGGATGATCTTGTGCCAGTTCCTACCTCGCAGGGCTGTTGTGAGGATCAAAGGGGCAAGAGGGAGGAAGGGAGAGAACTATGCTACCCTGCGCTTGCTGGAGAATGGATGGGGTAAAAATATAAAGCATTTTTTCCTGTGTGATTTTGGAGACTCTCCCTTCTATTGACACAGGATATTGGCCCACGCTGGAAACGATGCGACGCTGTACGGGCACTTTTCTCAAGAGAGATGAACGGTTCAGGGTGTTGCACAAAATGCTCGTAGGGCTGGAGGGTAACCGAGTCTTCTCCTTGGTGTACTATGCAAAGATTGGCTCTGTTGCCAAATTCCCTCTTAATTAAAAGCCCCATACATGTGCTGTCTTCTGTCAAGGAGCGTTATCTTCATGATGCAAAGAGGGAAACAGAGGCACAGGAGGATTATGCAATCAGGCCGATTTCCATTCCACGTCAGCCTCTGGTGGAGGACCACAAAGCCCTAGGACTCCTCCTCGATTGCTCACAGAATTATTACCTATGAGTCAAGCATCTCTGTTGAGTCTGATGTCACTGTTGATAAGGACAAGCGCTCAGACTCAGTGTCAGAGGCAATGGGAAGAGCATCGCTCTCAAATTCCAGCACTGTCCGCCCATCACTCTGCAAAGCCCCAAAATACCACCATTCCATTAGTCTGAAGGTGGAGAGAAATACTAGGATGATTCTACACTGAGCACCAAATTGCTAGCAGCGCCGAGCTGCGTTTTCCTTCCTTGTCTTGCTCCCTTTGCTGAGTGTCTTGTTAAAGACACACCCTCCTATAAAGGAGCATCTTATGTGACAGGGATAGAACATCACAGACTGAAAAGCACGCTTGATGCCGCTCCAGCGTTGGAGTGCCTCGTGTTGCAAGCGGGGGGAAAAAATCTCCTGCAGTTGCTGCGAGATGTGAACCATCCCCACCCTTCTTTTCAGCACAAACCTATGCTTGTCTGCACAGAAATAAATCAAATTGCTTCCAGTGGGGCTTCCTGCTGGGTAAGTATTACCCAACTGCACCAGATATTTAATTATAAGAAAATAGGAAGGTGCCTTATTTCTCAGGCTCCTGGCCTGTTTGGCTCAGTAGTTTATGCTCAGATCAGCAGTGGCTGCCCAGGGACTTCTTCCGTCCATGCAACCAGAAACTTGGAAAGTGGAGAAGCCGGGACCAAATTTGGGACTTTCTGCATGCACACAAAGTACAAGTGGGTAAGCAACACAGGGAAATACCCAACAGACAAGGTGTGCCTTTTCTTCAGAGGGGCCAGAAGGAGCCACCTTCACTCGTTTAGCATTAAGGAGTGGCTCTTCCTCAAAGGGTTCAAGGCATTTTTTTCTGTGCTGCTTTTGTAACTAACTCCTGCTCCCCCTTGTTGCTTGTTGCCACATTCTTAAGAATCTGGTCCAAAAGTTTCTAGCTTGTGGGATTTCTTCTGTACTGCTAATCCCTCCGTCGGCATTCGTTCCACTGACTTTGGCCACTGGCAAGATGGGCTGCAGACCCATCGCCTGCAGCGTTACAACTTTGCCACACTGACCTGGCGCACGGGCCCAACTCCACCCAGAAGGAGAATTCCCTGCTTCTTTGAGGTTAGTGGAGAGTCTGACCGTAGCTGCGGGCAAATTACGCTTCTCAGCAAAACATGTTCTTTGTCCTAATGTGAACGGTTTGGGGATGGCTTGGTCTGAGAGGACAATAAAGGCCCACTCCTTCTGCAAAAGAACGGCTCCTGGTGCAGGTAAAACGTCTTGAACTGGTTTGCTGACATGGAGTGGCCACTGAGCCCGAATTTTTGGATTCTGCTTGGGGGCACGGCAACGGGGACCCAGCAATGTACCACCGGCCACATCGTAAGCTAGGCAGGCTGCAACCTGAACATTTTCCTGCACCTTTACCTTGGATCATGAGGCCAGGCAGTGGGCCTCTTCCGCCTGTGGGACCCCCAAGCTCCCTCACCCCCAGGCCTTTCATCTGCATCTCCCCTCAGCCTGCTCCAGGTAGCAGGACTCCAGGTGCTTGCACAGTAGGCAGCGAGAGGGTGGGCGAAAGGACCCAGCCCCGGGGAAATGGGCCGAGGGAGGAAGAGCTGAGAGCAATGACAGGCTATCTCGCCGGTGTCCTGCAGCAGCTTTCATGGCCCCTTCCAACTCTCCTATGCTATGATTTATGGCACGGATTAGTGCAGCTGGACAGGGAGTAAAACTGACAGAAGAAAACAGGTGCATGTGAAACATCACAAGAAGGCAAGACTCCCCGGAGAAGACCATCCTGCTAGGGAAAGTCGAAGGCAAACCAAGAAGAGAAAGACCAACTATGAGATCAGCTGACTCCACGAAGGAAGCCTCAGCCTGGAATTTACAAGAGCAGAGCAGGGCTATCATGACTATGGCATTTTGGCAGACTTTCATTCACAGGGCTGCCATAATTTGGAGATGACTCAACAGCACACAACAGGTATGGCTGCCTTGTATCTATTTCTCTGATTTTTTGAATATATACACGTCCCGGGAGATGCAGCAGAATGACCAGGTTCCAGGAGGTGGATACCCTCCAAAAGTCTCCATGAGCAGCTGCTCTTGGGAGAAAAATGGGAATGCAACAGATCCGCTTCCTGAAGCGCACACAGTTCTCCATGGCTCCCACTGGAAGGGCCAAACCAGGAGAAATACCCTCAGTGCTTTAACTGGAGTCCTGCACTGAACAGGGGTTGAACTTGAAGGCCTGACAGCCCCCTTCCAACTCTCCTATTCTAGGATTCTATGACAACATTAGCAAGTACATGACTGGCTGTTCAGAGGCGAACTGCAGGGATGTGTGGGTACACAAATTGGGTTGGGACCCTAGCTTGTGTGCAGTGGGGTTTTTTTTTAAATTCCCTTTGTCTCCTACTGCTGAGATTTCTTGACCTGGATCCCTCCACTACCTGCACCCCGAATGCCTGTGATCTATACTGGCGGAAAAGCTTGGAATTCACTTTTTAAAAGCTGCAGCACAGGAGTTCCCTACACCCTGTGCAAATAAACAAGTATGGGGGGGGGGTGGAAGGTGGGGCTGATTTGAACTGAAACTGCAGTGTATCTCCACATCAGGATCTCAATCCGGATCCAGCCCCCTGCAACCGCAATTCAGTTGATGCAGGAGCAAAGCTGAAGCACAGCCAAGAGTTGCCAGGCTGGGAAAATGGGCTTTGTAAGTCCTGGTGTCACTTGAAATGTTAGATTTGGCGTAAGTGAATCCTTTGGCTACACGGTGGCTTTTACCCACGCAAGCATGTCACAAACAAATCAGGAATGTAAAATAATGTCATAGTGTTTCTAACCTTCAAAGTGCCGCGTGACCATCGCTTTATGCTCCTTATTCGTTCAGAGCAAGAAATGCTTCTTGCAAATGAATGAACTCCCAATCAAGTTTAGGTTTATTCAGTCTAGTTATGGCCAGGATACAACCAGCTGTCCATTTCAGATCCCGCAAAGCACTCTGCCCATTTAAGAAGCCTGCACACATACGTAAAACTACCTTAGCTTCCAAACTTCAAGCCTTCCGTGCCAAGTTTACGATAAAATTATTCATTGCAAATAAAAATACACCTATCTTATTCCCGACAATGCAGCTTTCTGTAATCCAGGCAGGCCATGAATTCGTAAAGGCAGAAAAAAGTCCCGTCCAGAGGAGATGAGGTGGAGCATTAAAAAACGCAGGAGTGAGGAAACCGTGGGAATGGGATGGCATCCTTGATGTTTTCCACTCCCAAGATGCATCGGAGGTAACGCTCAAACCCCATTCCAAACCCTCCATGTGGAGTTGAGCCGAACTGACGCAGTTCTAGGTACCTGTAAGAGCAAAACAGCAGATTAATTAATTGCACTGATACATACTTTCCCTTCTTATGGAACATGCTTGCTTCTTATACTCTGCAGTCCGCTTCTCTTACTCACGGCATCATCGAAAGATTTTAATTTCACACATGCACCGAATTCTAGAACCTGGCCTTAAAATGGATTACCCATTTATGGTAAAACTCCATGTTTTACAATGACTTTCTTGAAAATTGTAACATTAACATGGTTGGTATATTCAAAGCCTAAGGAAGTATACCGAGCTGACTTTTAATTGGTTTTAATTTTAATAGTAATTTTGGAGACATGCAAGTTACATTTAATTCATTTAATTTATTATTTAGTTAAAACTTTTCAAGACTGTCCCTTACTGTGGTCTTGGGATGGTTTAACAATAAGACAATACAGAATGAAACACAGCATCCTAATAAAATTATGTTCTGAAAATAACCAAGTGATCTGGTTTATGACTAGCCATAAAGTACACATCCCATAGTTAGCCAGAGCCACTCAGGAGCAGGTGACCACACTCCTTGCTTGCTTACTGCTTCATTTCTGCCTTTAAATACAACATGGAAAGACCCATTCCTTGTTTCTTTGTTGGAACAGTCCAGAGTTCCAACCCATCAAATTGTGGGCTGTTTCCCCCTCAATCACCCAGAATTCTGGGTTTGCACTGGCCATTCCTGGGTTGCTTAAAGAAGCAGCCATGAAACAAAAGTGTTTAGGCAGCACATTCACCACTCCTAACGACGCATGGACTGACTTTATAGATGAATCAGGTTGTGAAACTCTTTCGATGTATTTTTAAGTCTTCATTGCCACCGCTCTCCTCCTAAGTCTAAAGACTTGTTTCTTTTTCACTAGAGACGTTTTTTCGCCCCTGCAGTTTCCAGATACTTCCAGATTATAACTTCCAAGAACTTTTAAGGAGATCCCTGCTACGATTTATTGACAATGGTAATTGTCGCACGATCTGATATTCTTAGGTTGTAAATGGCCTTGTCATAAAAACAGTATTGTTTAAAAAGAGGTAACAATGGAGACAACAGCATTTATCTATGTAGAATAGTTGCTTCCATCATTTACGGAACTCCTTTGGACCGCCTAAGTAGGGTTCTATTTTTACCACTGGAATCATGGCCAGATGCTGTTGCGAAAAATCCCACCTTTGACAAACTGAATAAAACAATTCCAAATATTTGTGTCTAACATATGTAGAGGTCAAGAAGTCCATGGAGGTGGTCTGCCACTTGTTTGCCGTCTGTGTTGGACAGACCACTAATGTCAAGGAGCCTAATGCTGACGGCCTAATGCTCTTCCTCTTCCTCACTTCATCTTGCTTGATCACCTGCACACCTGATCACCTGTTCTGGCCCAGACATCGAAGGGAAGAGGGGCAGCAGGATGCCACAGCCTCCAAGCTCCCTCACTCTCCGCTCGCCACGTTGGCCAGCAGTGATTTGAAAGGGGGTAAGAGGAGGACCAGCCATGGATCGGGGTGGTGAGACTTCATGGGTGACCAGTGCCTTGTCCAGGTGCACTCAAAAACCCAGAGCTGGCACTGGTCAGGTACATCAGGAGGGGAAAACACACATGCAAAAAATCCGTCTGACACTCCCCAGTGGTGCCACAGGAAGTGACAGATGCCACGAAAATATCTAATCTGGCTGTGTGAGGATGACTCTCTAAATCAGGGGTCTCAAACTCAACTGACCTGGGGGCCGCTGGAAGCAGAGTCTGGGTGAGGCTGGACCGCATCAAGTATTCCACCCCTGCGGTGGTGGTGGGCCGCTCATCCCGCGGGCGCCACCGGCGCTTTGCAGGCCGCAGGGCCCCTCCCTGTGCCCCGGCAACTGGCCTGCGAGTTTGAGACCCCTGCTCTAAATGCAACAATAGATTGGCAAAATAATATTATACTGCACCTTACCATTGATAGGTCTCTTCAAGCCCCAACCTGCAGAACAAGCAATTATTATTATTATTGCTATGGTTCTCACTATTATTTTCATTATATTACATTTGTATCTGTCTTTCTTTACTTGCAAGGAATCCAGATTGGCTTACAAGGTTCTTCTCTCCATTTATCACAACAACAACCCTGTGAGGTAGGTGAGGCTAAGAGTCCGTGACAGGCCCAAATATCACTCAAATCCCAGTCCAACACTCTAACCATCACACCACTCAAAAGAACCGCTTCTCTCTACACCAACCACAGAGACAAATTTATGAGGAGTTGCAAGGAGAGCCTGGAAGAGCCATGCAAAGGCAGCCAAATTTATGGGGGATGCTTTGACACATGCATTTCTCAGAGAAGTCTCTGGCCCATGAAGCAGCTGCCGCCATAAACAGGCTGATCTTTAAGCTGCCATAGGATGGTCTGTGATTTTGACAGACATGCTGCGGACAGCATGAAGAAGCAGAGTACCCAGCAACATTAGCATATCCTGCTGGTATGGAACGGAATAAGAGATTTATCTGATCTATAGTCTGGTTTTAAATTTTTGCAGTGAAATTTTATTATGTTTTATTGCTATTCATATTTTATGCTGATTTAATTATATTTGCTGAATGGTTGTAAACCTCCTAGATAGTTTCAGCTACAGGCAGTAGAGAAATATTAGAAACACAGAAACAGAGCGAGTCAGAAGGGGGCTCTCGGGCCATCTAGTCTGACCCCTGGCTCCAGCGGCTCCACTCATGACATTCCTACCATGTGCATGTCCAGCCTGTCCTTGAACATCCTCACCGATGGGGCCTCAACCATCTCCCGTGGAATCCCATTCCACACCCTCGGGGTCCAGACTGCCAGGAAGTGCTTCCTGGCATCCAAATGGAACCTTGGCTCCCTGAACTTTGCTCAGTTGGATTGTGTCCTGCCTTCCTCTGCAGGGGAGAACAGGTGTCTACCCACCTCCGTGTGACACCCCCTCACATACCTGCATGTCGCCAACAGATCCTCTCTGAGTCTCCTCCAGGCTGAAGAGACCCAGTTCCCTCAGTCTTGCCTCATACGGCATTCCCTGCAATCCGGCCACCAACCTTGTGGCCCTGCGCTGCACTGACTCTAACCTGACTATATCCTTCCTGTAATGAGGGGCCCAAAACTGAGCACAGTACTTCAGTTGTGGGCGCACCAGAGTCCTATAGAGTGGTAGTAAACCTCTCTCGATCTAGAGTACCTCTCTCGATCTAGAGACATATTAACAATAAGAATTGTGAATCTTCCATCAGAAGAATCTGTAATGCCCAACCACCAAAGGCATGGTGTTGCAGATATGTTGTTATTCGACCTCCTTTGCTTTGCATCTTCATTCCTTGACCACTCTCTGTCATCATCTCATAAAACACGTAGCCCAGAGAAGAGGCGATACCCCACTGAGAAGTAACTCAGTCCCCACCAAAACCCCTGGTTTCCGGAGTCCTTGAAATGAAGGCATTTTCAAACCCTAAAGCTTTTATCCTCAGTCATGGTATCTTGCGACATCTTAAATATGTTTACCAGAAAGTTAACTTCATCACAATCAACAAATCTTGTTCCATATTGATGTAAAACAGGGCAGGAAAACTACCAGTTTTCAAGCTCACCTAAATCCTCCAAAAAGCAAACTGAAGCTTGTTTTGTTTCCTTTCCATTATAGTTTTTGGCCCATTTATCGGACTGTTTGAACAAGGAAAGCATGCATTTGGAGTGTGCACTGTTGTGCTTATTTTTCGGACGAGGACTCCTTCTCCCATTGAATAAATTGTAGATTCTAAAATATCCTATTTCGAAATGCACATTTCGAAGTGCATGAGTAGAAAAACATTTTTCAAGCATGATCACAGATTTAGGAATTAGCTAACATTTGTCAAAAAGGGGGGGACCCCCCTGCTCCCGTTCACCATAGTAGTGGCTAAAAGCCCAAGTGAGCCCCAGTTGGCTCCTTGCTCAGCCATGGAGCCACCTGGCCCAAAGTCACAGACTCTCAGCCCAACCTACCTCACAGGGCTGTTGTGGGATTAAGACTGAAAGCAGAAAGAGGAGAATGATGTAAGAGAAAAGTGGGATATAAATCTAATTTTAAAAAGCGACATATTTATTTCCATGCATTTTGAACGGAAATGAAATTCTCACACACCCCTGGTGTGAAATACACAGTTATTTCTCTTTCAGAAATCCTACAGGTTGGAAAACACTCCACCCCTGGAATTCCCTTTTGCCCCAACTGGGGTAACAGAATACCCAATGTTTTGGTGTGTAGTAAATTTATTTATTCATTTAAAGTTTTCTAACCCACCCACCACTGGTGTCTTGGTCGGCTTTCAACAGAAGACAAATCATCATCATCATCATCATCATCATCATCATCATCATCATCATCATCAATTGCATTTATATACCACCCTAGTAGCCCAAAGGGCTCTTTGGGTGGTTTACAAACATTAAAACCTACCAATCCTAAACAAATAAATAAGTTGGCTATACCACGACAGTATAAAATACCATAGTTAAAATGAATTAAATAAATAAATATAGCATTACAATTAACTAGATTTAAAATATTGGTTAAATAAAATTTTTGACCTGGGGCCGAAAAGCATATAATGACGGCGCCAGGCGGACCTGGGGAGCGCATTCCATAGTTGGGGCGCCACCGCAGAGAAGGCCCTCCTCCGGGTACGCTGTCTCCTGACCTACCTCCTAAATGTGCTACCTTCCCCCATAACCCAAATTTTCTGTTTGGACTCTTTCACATCAGAACTTTATAGGCGACCCGAGAACATTTCTAAGAGAAGGAGACATGTGCTTATTTTCTTTAAACAGATTATATGCAGGGGACTGGAGCATCCTTTGAAACACCTCTCAAAAGAAACATCTGTCATTCTCCCTTTCTCTCTTTTAATTACTGGAATCCTTAACAAACCCTCTTGGACCAACTGTCAAATTGCTCCCCGGCAACAAAAAACAAAACAACACAAAGCAACACAACACCAACAAAACAGAAATTTTCTGTACCTTTGAAGGCGGGACTGTAGAAAGTCCAGCCGGTCTTCTCTCAAGCTGCCTCCGCAAAGTTCTCCAACTTCTGGTACCAGAAGATCAACCGCTGCCACCTTAAAGGAAAGGAAATGTGGGGGAAACAGCCTTTCTGACTTTTAAAAAATCAAAGTAAGGATGGGAGGTCAATGGCGCTTTGGGGGCAAAGTTTGATGCACCAGAGCCCAGACAAGGTAGCAGGAGATGAAGGCAGCAGAAGTAAACTTGATTTTATTCCAGGGGAAATGGCCATGCTGAGCAGAGATCAAAAAGAAGAAATACTCAGAATTTGTGTTTTAAAAATCAGAATTAAAAATTTCTGTTACTCTAAGAAAGCCAGTGTGGTACATCCATATGTGCCCGGCTGCCCCTTGAGATCTGCGGGAGAGGCCCTTCTCCGGGAACCCTCCGTGAAAGAAATTAGGAGGGTGGGTACTCAGAGGAGGGCTTTCTCTGCGGTGGCGCCCCACCTATGGAATGCGCTGCCCAGAGAGGTCCGCCTGGCGCCGTCGTTATTTGTTTTTCGGCGCCAGGCGAAGACCTTTTTATTTAAACGTCATTTTAATTGTTAATATTGTTTATCTGGCCAGGGCAACTTATTTTATATTGTTAATTTGTTGTATGTATTATATTTTAATTTTATGTTGTGAGCTGCCCGGAGGCTTCGGCGAATGGGGTGGCATAGAAATGTTTTAATAAAATAAATAAAGTGGTAAAATGCTGGACTGGAACTCTGGCGATCCGGGTTCTAGTCTCCACTCAGCCATGGAGTTCCTGGGGTATGTTTGGGTTAGAGTCACAGACTCTCTGCCCAATTACCTTACAAGGTTGTTGTTGTGAGGATTGAGATGAAGAGGGGAATTATGCCAGCCACCTTGAGTTCCTTGGAAGGAAAAAAGGTGGGATAGAAATATAATAGATGGATAGAGTTTCAGGAATACAAACACCATTGTAAAGTGTGGACTAATTGGTGAGGTGGGGAGGTGGGAAGAAGGAATTGCTGACTGGCTGTTTCAGAAATGAAGCAATACACATCCTCTTCCAAACTGCTGCCATAAGACCATCAAGCGCAAGGCCTAAAATTACCTAAAATACAATTAAATATAAAACAATCAAAAACAGCTTTTGGCTTCCTGGGTGGTGGAGAAGAGATCCTGCTTTTTATTTCTTTCTTAAGTTTCTAGTCCTCAGGGATGTGCACACGGCTTCATGTGTGCAGCATGCTGTTCTGCCTAAGAAACTGAAGCTTTGCTCTTACTGTGTGATGGACGCCATCTTCGTTGTCCCGCATATAGAATGGCTTGAGGTCATATGGATAATTCAGCACGAAGACGGGGATGTTCCCACAGTGCTCCACCAAGTATCTCTCATGTTCACTCTGAAGATCCTGGCCCCACTGGGAGAGGGGTGGGGGGGAAAAGCACAGTGCCCCAGAAATGCAAAGCAAAAACACCTGTTGTTTGCTGGTTCAAAATTCAGCCGAAAGGGTCACCCCTTTCGTTCTAGTCCAAGTTGCCACCTATATACCCTCAGTTTTGGTATGGTGGTGACAAGACACGGGTTCAAATCCCTGCTCAGTCATAAAGCTCACGGAATGGCTTTGGGCCAATCACTCTCTGGTGGGGGCACGGGGATGGAAGGAAGATGCTCACATGCCATCTTGCAGAAAGGGCAGTATGCAAGCAGCAACCTGACACAGAAGTGCTGGTTCTCACAAGCAGAGACTCCACGGGAATTTGGCACAGCCCAAAGGCCGCCCTTGAGGTGGCTTGGCACACACACGATCGGTGAGCATTCGTGCCTTCCCGGGTCCCAAAGCATAACGACGGGTACTTGGTCCCTGTAGTATCTTTGAGTCCGGACGTCTGATCTGCGTGATATCTGATATCCTGGCTAAGGGATGGCTTCTGATGGACTTACAGCTCACATCTGTCTTGCAAAGAGCTCTCTGGGCAAGAAAATGTCTTTCTCAACACAAGCACATTCCCAAATCTCACCTCTGGCTGGAAAGTGAATAGTTGACGAGCTCGCTTTAAAATCTCGATTGCTTCAGTGTATGACAGCCTAGAAGAGAAGAGAAGAGAAGAGAAGAGAAGAGAAGAGAAGAGAAGAGAAGAGGCTGTGTCAGAGTTTGCATCCATTCCTTCTGGACAGACATGCATTTATTTTAAATAGTTGGATGCCACCCTTTAGGAGCACCCTAGCGGATCCCTTGGGGCCTCGTACAGAGAAGGAAGATGCATGTGGTCACTCAAAGGTAGAGCAAATCCTTTCCATGCAGAAATATCTCAGAGGGGCAAGCAACTCCACAGGGCCCAGGGGCCATTTCGGCTTCTCGCTCGCAGGCTGTACTCCTCCTGCCCCTCCACAGTGGTAACTGGATGGTCTTTTTGCCACGGCAAATCACGGGGACACTGGGGCAACATTAGCCGTGTTGCTCACCCCTGAATTAAAGAACCAAGTAGCACCGGATGTATTGTCCTCAGGATCCTGGAGAGCTACTGTACAGTCAGAATTCTCACCTAAGTGCACAAAATATCTGCCTTTGGTCCTTCCTGTGCTTTTGGTTAGATGGAAGCCAGTTGGTTAGATTGTCCCAAATTCGGTGGGCCTAACAAATCATGGGATACAAACACTCCTCTATTTTCATTGTTGTGGATGGCCTCATCTGCTTTTAGGCTGATTTTTATAAAAGGAATACCATCTAAGGAAGGCAGAAGAGGGCAGGGCCTTCTCAGGGGTGGCGCCCCTTCCCTGATTATGGATCGCTTTCCCCACTGAGGTTCATCTGGCACCAACACTGCCATCTTTTCAGCATCAGGTCAAGATTTCTTTTTACCCACAAGCCTTGACAGCACATGATGAAGCTCTAATGCCCATTGGTCCTCCAAGTCTCAGTAAAAATGCTTCTTTAGCTGTTAGCCATTGTTTTAAGTTTTGCACACTAAAGATTTCTTATTGTGTTTTCATTATCTTTTATTTCTGGGATGCAGTTTTTGTGAAATATGCGAATATGTGGAATGAATAAATGAATGGCTATTATTGTTCATGGGAAGCTGTAACCCCTTTAGGGGCTCCAAAAGCAGAGCATTAGGGCATCGAAGGAGTAGAAGATGGTTCTTTGATGTTGGACAGCTTTCCCTAACCTGGCTTCATGCTACTGCTGACCAAGGGAAGCTGACCATTGTAGTCCGGCCAAGTTAGAGAAGGCTGAGCTGGGCTGTTAGAAAGCCACCCATGAGCAAGGCCTTCTAGAGAACATGAATGACCAGAGATTTTGTGGCCATCCAGAAGAACCATTTTCTACTGCTGTGGTACCAATACTTGCACTGTGAACGTGGCCGACACGACCAGCAGAGTAAAGCTGTTACAAAACGGCTCAAGAATTAGGGAGAAGAAGAGGTGTCCATCGCACCTATGAGGCCCACACCTGTCTTCATCCGTAGGTGTGTTCCTGCAGGCATGGACGGAGAGCACCAGACTCGGAAAGGAACTCTGCACATGCCAGCTGCCTTTCTGACAAGACGGCAAGGCAGGGCAAGCTCAGCCCCAGTGTGTCAAACAAACTCTGATGTGTTTGCTTACTTTGCGAATTTGTTCTTCAGCATCTGTTCCAACTTGGCCTTCAGAAGGAAGTGGAGCGGAAGAAAGACAATATTAAGACAATAAGAAAGAGGGCCAAAAAATCAACATGTTTATTCAGAAGCATTTAAGAAAACCATCTTCAACTTTGCAAGGAGTCTGTAAATCTACGTGGGGAAACCCACTTCAGTTTCTGCAGGCAGAAATCAAAGCTGTGTTAAGGGAACCCAAATTCTGCACTGGGAAAGCTGCCATGAGCCGCTTCAGCAAACACCTGTGGAGATACTCACTTGTTTTGTGCACTCAGAGACAGAGAAAAAGGCCAGGTGCAAGGTATGTTTCACCCAAAAGCCAACCAGTTGCAACTGGGAAACCCTGAACTGCGACATGGGTGCATCAGGTACCCCCGGAAATTGGAGGTTTCACCTACCTATCAGGACCCCGAGACACTGACTGACCTGTCCACCCCGCTATACCACCCTCCTGTAAAACAATCCAGTACCAAATCTTGTGGTAATGAATGACACACATTAATAATGCTGTTGGGGAGCTGCACCCCCGGCCAGATCCTTGATGCTAGGACTATACCACCCATGTCTGCCCTAACAGCATCTGTATTGCTGGACCCTACGATTGATTTCTTTTTTTATAATAAGTTTTATTCAAAATTATAATCCTAAAAACAAAGAAAAACTAAAAACAACATCAATCATCAGAAACATCGGACCTGCTGGGTCAGCCCCCAATTTTTTTTCCATTTATGGTAACTTAAAAACATATTTAAATCTATACGAAGTCCCGTTTCACTAGCCAGTAATAGGAAGAGTCCCAGGTTTGATAGAAGTCCTAGGATGGATTTCTTGTTGAAATAGCTTTCACCCTTTACTGCAGCTTTCCCCAACTGGATGTCCTCCAGGTGTGCTGGACCACAACTTCCAGAATCCTCCAGCCAGCTCAGGAAAAGCGGTTTTGTTGCATTTTAAAAGGCGCACAAGGCCATGAACATCCACGTTCTTGTATTTCCAATTACCAAGTTCGGGTGGGAAAGCTGGTCGGTGGAGAAAGCTGAAGGGAAATAAATGGGTGTTGCGGGGGGGGAGCTTTGTGAACACACTGGGCTGACAGAAAGATCAACAAATGAGTCTCAGATCAAACTTTCCCTAGAAGCAAAAGGGACAGAACTGAAGCTGTCAGAATCAGGAACATCATGAGAAGGCAAGAATCTTGCGAGGAAAAGTTTAAAGCAGGAGACGGCGACCAAACACGAGATGGGTTGACTCCATCAAGGAAGCCACGGTCTGGAATTTACAAGAGGGATGACGTGGGTAGTACGTCTTGGAGGGCTTTCACTTATAGGGTCACCAAAAGCTGGAGGCAACTTGATGGCACAGCACAACCGCAAAGCTACAGATAAAGCTGCTAGAAAATGCCTTCTGTTTACCTCTTGTCCAGGGGCGACACGCTTGTGAAAAAGCTCAACATCGCGAGGGCATGCGGAGAGCACCTTGTCCGTCACTTTCTTGAAGAGGTCCTCCATGACCTAAGCGAGGATGGTGGAGAAAAAAAGAGAGGGCTACAGCAGGGCAGAGCACCTCTGCGACGTAGAGTATAATTCTTTTTAAATTTATTCCCCACCTTGGATCGAATGCGGCTTATACTACAGAGCAGCACTTATCATTTACATAATAGAAATATATTTAATATATTCCAGATGAATGCAAACCCCATCAACTTCCCCCATTGACACTGCTGGGTAGAGCTAATAGCAGCTGTAGGCCACGCCATTTAGAAAGTCACGCTTTGTATACCCCTTCCCTAATCTAGCATACTTCAAAAGTTTTGGACTGCAGTTCCCATCAGCCGCAGCCTGTGTGGCCAGTGTCGGGGATTCTGGGAGTTGTGATCAAAAAATGTTTCGCAGGTGCCAGGCTGGAGGAGGTCATGTTCTGTTCTGTTGCAGTCCTCACAACATCCCCAACACAGCATGGGACAGAAAGAAATGCTTCATTCCGAAACAAGCCCTTTTAGGCAGGCTAGTGAAATGTTTGTTCTCATGGGAGGCTGAGGCTGAGAAAAAGTGGCTTCTCGGGCCACCAAGACATTCGTGACAAAGGCAAAATCCGAGCCACCCAACTTCCTAATTCCTAAGTTCTACTTTTTGAGGCTGGAAAACAAGCCAGTCTGAACAGAGAAGCCTTGAAAAGGAGCTGCTCTGCATCCTGTACAAGGTCTGATCTCCAGTCCTCATTATTTCCAGTCTAAAGGATGAAGTAGCAGAGAGGAAGGAAAGAGCTCCACCTGAAACTTTGGAGGAAAACAGCTACTGCTAGGAAGAATTAACAAACGTAGGCTAGATGGCCCAAGGCACTTTCACGGACACTGGCCTCTTCCTTCCCTTTTTCTTGTGGGGAGAATTTTAAACTGCAAGCGCAAGGCACACATTTTTCCTGATGTTTATATTATGGTATGATATACAGTGGTGCCTTGTCCTTCGAACTTAATTCGTTTTGGGAGGCCGTTTGAATTCTGAATCATTCAAACAACGAATCAATCTTCCCCATTAGAAATAATGGAAAGCAAATTAATCCGTCCCTAGACCCTAAACAATACCCATTTCGATAAAGTGAAATGGCAAATACGGCCTCCTGAAATGAATTAAGTTTGAAGGACAAGGCACCACAGCATTGGAATTCATGTTAGAAATGTTATGTTAGTGCATTTACTGTACCACAGTGAGGAGTGGTCATATATGTAACCAAAAAATGAAGGGGGGGAAAAAGCACTCAAAATGGACACACTGAAAACGCACGAGCATCACGCAAGCAAGAGATGACTTGGCGCACAACAGATGGCATTTACGCTGCAACCACATTTTTTCCCACTTTGTGTGCAGTTCGAACATAGAAGCATCGTTTGAACTTTGGAGCAATTTTACCTCAGCTTTAACATTCGAACTCTGAATCGTTCGAAGTTAGAGTCGTTCGATGTAAGAGGCACCACTGTACCTAAAAACAAGAACAGCAGCTGAAAGGGGGCATGATTCTCGCCTACTGCCTGACACCGGAGGATGCTGAAGAGGCAACGAAGTCCTTGCACAGAACTGTTTGGCGTTCTTGAGGCATCTTCTGCCCCGCAAAGTCTTGCTCAGTGACAAGCTCTTCAGCCATGTCCACCTAATGCGTGGTTTGCCCACAGTATCCTTGAGTGGTACATTCTATACAGAACCCCTAAAAACAATGCTGACTCCACACTCTTGAAAGGTTAAAGGAAGAATCTTCGCGCTAGTTTGTTCAATGGCAAACAGATCTGTGGATATCTTACTGTCTTAGGGTTAGAAGGAAAGAGCTTTCAATTGCAGAGGAACCATAGCTTAGTGGTAGAGCACTAATTTTGCACGCAGAAGGTCCCATGTTTGATCCCCGAAAGGATCCCAGGCAGGGCTGGAAAAAACCCTCCAGACAAGGTGCGGACTTGCTACCAGGCAGTTCTGACAACGCTCTATGCCTCTCCCAACACAGCAGGCCGGGCGATTCCTCCTGCTCTTCCCCAGTTCATTTGGGTCGGCAGGCTCCCTGCCTATCCACCCGAGGCCTCCCCAGTGACCCAGACCATAGTCGCCAGTTTCCCACTGAAACCAAACCAAAGTCCAAGCTGCCAGTGACCAGCTGCGGCAAAGATAATAGGAGCAAGCTACCGAGCCTCCTTCCAAGTGAGACACAGTGATCAGCCGTGTCGAGCCTGATGAACGACTCCGGTGGACCCACAACTGGAGTACTGTGTTCAGTTCTGGGCTCCACATTACAGGAAGGATGTAGCCAGGTTGGAGTCAGTGCAGCGTAGGGCCATAAGGATAGTGGCCGGATTGCAGGGAAAGCCGTATGAGGAAAGACTGAGGGAACTGGATCTCTTCAGCCTGGAGAAGAGGGGACTCCGAGGGGGTCTGTTGGCGACATGCAGGTATGTGAGGGGGTGGCACAGGGAGGTGGGTAGAGACCTGTTCTCCCCTGCAGAGGAAGGCAGGACACACTCCAACAGAGCAAAGCTCAGGGAACCCAGGTTCAGTTTGGATGCCAGGAAGCACTTCCTGCCAGTCAGGACCCCGAGGGTGTGGAATGGGCTTCCATGGGAGGTGGTTGAGGCCCCATCGGTGTGGGTGTTCAAAGATAGGCTGGACATGCCCATGGTGGGCATGTCGTGAGCGGAGCCGGCTGGAACTGGGGGTCAGACTAGATGGCCTGGGAGGCTCCTGACTTGTTCTGTTTCTATGTGTCTATAAGATTCTTTAGGCAGGAGGACTCCAGTGTGGCAAGAACAGGCATAGGCCTCTTGTGCAGCTCAACAGACACCCGCCTCTCTTGGGCTTTGCAATTTCTTAAGAATTTTCCATTTTATTCCAGGCTACCTGGCTTGCTGCAAGGCCATAGGCCACCCTCATGCACCGTCTTTATTTGGGTTTAAAAGAGTGGGTTAGTTCTCTGGAGCTCCAGTCCCATTTCTTCCCTGCATGTAGATGCTTTTTTAAGTGCTGGTTTGCCTTCTGGAAAATGAGCATTTTCTGAATGGAATGGCCTCATCCACCATGGCAGTTTTTTTAGGTGCAGTTAAGTCCCCCTTCCCATGGCATATCCTTTGTGCAGAAGCCATTCTCAAGCTTCAAACTGTGGCCCCTGACCCAAAGAAATTGGGAGGGGGGTGCTTGTGGAAGGAGATAAAGTCTACATGTCTCTTCTTGATTTTGTGAAGCCAAAAACCTAAAAAGAGAAACCAAGGTCTACGTTTCATGCTCCCCGCTTTTTCCCAGGCTAGACAAAGCTGTTTCTGTTGCACCCAGTGGGAAGTTAACGGTTAGCTCATAGCAAAGATGTGGGGACGCAAGCAAGCTGGAAACCAGCGCGATGCTTTCATTTCCTCAAAGGGGAAACTTTCTGGGTACAATGGAGCTTCTGCATGCCCGAATGAGATGGCTGATTGTTGTGATGGAGCATTTCCACTTCCCGGAGTGTTAGAGTGGTTTCGAATAAAAACTACAGACGCGTGAATTGCAATGTTCAAAGGACCCCAGCCCAGCTTGTCTTCTCCTGGCTGCAGACAATATTCGTCAACCAGCTGAACACTCTCTACAGACCTAATTCAATCATGTACGGAGAGATTACTCCTCTCCATCAGAGCAGGGATGGGCAACTACTGCCATTGCAGGGGTCAATTTTACCCCCCATATCTGCGTCTTTCTCACCACTGGAGCAGACAAAAACCCACAGCCATAATGAAGAGCCCAAAGGGTCACCATTAATTTGATTTCAAGGTCAAAGGGAATTAACCATTGCTGCTCTGGATGCCATTTTAATCCGTTATTTAATTTTCTTTTACAGTCTCGGGGGGCAGGCAGCCCACCGGCTATATCTTGCCCACTCCTGAATTTGAGAGTGACAGAAAATGCTTTCATGACAAGACTCTAGTCCTCATGCCCTGTTCCATCATCACCTCCCCTGGAAGCAAATGACGTCTCCTTGCACGCCTTGCCCTACCTCCCCTCAAAATTAGTAAAGACACAAAATGTATGAACATATTTGCACAATTCTGGAACGTGGACTGATCCCACCCCCCAGCAGTGAAGTAGTGATAGCTGCTCCAAAGGGCCACTTGGACCCCGGTCAGTGGAAGGACAGCCACTGGCAGCAACAAGATCAGGGCTTATGTCCCTCTTGCCAAGCAGCTCAGTATGTATGTATGTATGTATTTATTTATTTATTAAAACATTTTTATGCTGCCCCATTCGCCGAAGCCTCGGGGCGGCTTACAACAATAAATTAAAATAACATTTTAAAATATATACATTAAAATACAAATATATGATATAAAACATACGAAATAAAACAAGCCGCCCTGGCCAGATAAAATTCAATAATATTAACATTTAAAATACTGCTTAAATAAGTAGTCGATCCTTGCAGCCCACAATGACCTTGTTCTCCCAGGTTCAGAAGGTGTGAACTGAAGAAGGTTCATATCTGGGTTGATTGCCCAAAACTATGGACACAATATCCCACCATGGCTAACTACCCATGGTTGGTTGCTTTGCCTTGTGAACCAGGTCCCTGGGTCAGACCATGGTCTATTCAGCCCAGAATTCGCTAACCTTCACCTCCCAACAGCCCTCTGGCTGTCCAGAACCCCAAGCCTTATCTAGCTCCATTCTCCTGCCTCCTGCTTTGCATCCTACGATTAGGGTTCCCATCTCTGTACTTGTAAGCAAACATATAGTCCTGTCCCGACCTTTACGTATATCTTGCTCATCGTTTAAATGAATATTAGTATTCTAATGTTAGTATTAGTAAATATTAGTAAAAAATCTCCCAACCAATCAAAAATAGCAGTTATGACACACTGTACCTCATAGTCAAAGACTCGCTTCTAAGCTTTGTACAGTTCTGCAAAACTATGAGTAACTGAGCTAACTAGCTAAATTTCAGTGGGATGATACAATACGAAATGATGATTATATAAAAACTTACTCAGAAAGTGCAGCAAACAAGGAATCCT